CGTATATGGTTTCAATGTTGTAATTGGATACTACGTGCAAGAAAGTTGAAAACAAATATGTGGATTGTGGGGGAAATATATTGGCACCCACACTTATAAAATGGACACATTCAGTAAGAATCATTTTAACTTGAATATTGACTTGATTTCTCTTGTCTTGATTCCACACATTAAAGCGTTCATAAGATACAAGATCAAAGAGTGTATAACATATGTCCACCAGGTATATGGATGTACCATTACCAAAACAAAGGCATTTCTCGGGCGTAAACGTACGTTTGAAATTGTTTATGATAACTGGGATAAGTCCTTTGCTGCTCTACCCAGGTACATGGCTGTATTGCAACACTTTAACCCTGTGACTGTTTTTGAATGGAAGCTTGAGCGGAGTCCGAGAATACTAGAGTACATATTCAGATATGTTTTCTGGGTATTTAAACCAGTTATTGATGATTTTGTGCATTGTCGGCCGGTAATATCCATAGACGACACTCATGTCTATGAAAAGTATGATATTAAGTTGTTGATCTTCGTTGCAGTAGATGCTAATGGAAGTATATTTCCCCTAGCATTTGCTATTTGTTCCAATGAAAGCCAAGAGACATAGACATTGTTTTTGAACCACTTGAAGGAGCACGTTGTCAGACAATGTTCAGGTATTTATCTAATATCTGATCGGCATGGCGGTATTTTAAGTTCTATACAAAATTTGCGTACATGGCAGGAACCGTATGCCTACCACCGTTATTGTGTTAGGCACTTGAAGGCCAACTTTCAGAGGGCTTATCCGAACAAGGACTTACATGATTTAATGTGGATGGCTGCAACAGATCAACAAGAGTATAAATTTAGGAGGCGGATGGATTGATTAGGCAGGAAGACCCCAAAGCATATCGTTGGTTGATGCGACATGAGTTTGACAAGTGGACTTTGCATGCGGATGGTGGTAGAAGAAAGGGAATTCCGACTACAAATGTGTCAGAATTTTTCAATGGGTAATTGAAGTTTGCACGTGGATTGCATGTCACTGCCATGGTGCGGATGTCATTCAAGCAGATGGCGGAGAGGTTTTTTGAAAGATCTATAGGTGCATCATCATTAATGGAAAGGGGTGTTGAATTTATGCTGCAACCAATGAAACGATTTGAGAAATATAGAAAGCGAGCACAATGGCATTTATTTTTGCAGTATTGCAACGATCGAAATATTTTTGAAGTTCGCACTGGTCTGCACCATAACCGCGGGAATAATACACATACCGTCAATAAAGCCAGAAGATTATGCTCCTGTGAAAAATGGTCAATCTATCACTTGCTATGCTCACATGGCATGAAATGCTTTCAACATACAGGTTTCGCGGCAACGAGGTACGCTAATAAAATATATAGTGTTGCTGCATACTTAAACACCTATAGTGAATAGTTGCAGCCAGTGGGTGCTGAGCATTATTGGCCGCTGGAACCATTTAAAATGGTGTGTAACAAGGATTATGTGCGTCAATAGCAAGTGCAAAAAAGAATGTGTATGCGGAACCAAATGGATGTTGGTGATACCGTTATGCACGTAAATGTGGTATCTGTTCCCAAACATGACACGACCGTCGTAAATGTCTTTTAGCTGATTTGGAAAGCGGTGGTAATTCAGCTCCAGGTGGCAGTTTATCCAATGTGCCCAATTATCAAGGATAAACGTAGTGTTTTATTGCGGTAATTTTATTGTACTAAATGTTTGTAAATGTTCTGTTTGCAAAATGTATGAAATAAAATTATGTTTCCAATGGGGTTAAATCTAATTGATATTTAGCATTAAAGATTCAATACAAAAATTTAACATACACCCCAGGAAATAAATAACAATTGTCCTTCGCCATTATCATCACTAGCTGGCACTATTTCATTGTCACTGTCTTCATCTTCTTCATCAACAACTTGTACGCACCCTTGAAAAAGCTGTCGACCTGAAAAAACTGTCGATCTGAAAAAGTTGTCGAGCTGAAAAAGCTGGACCCACTTGTACCCGAAAGTATCATTATCACGCGAAACATAACGCCTCACCAATATGCGTTATGTGTATTGTTATGTCGACCTGAAGAGCATCCCTCGGTGATGAGCCATAACTTAGTCGTCGCCCACTATGCACTTTTCTATTCGGACGATCAGCAACAACCGTCGATGGATCTGTAGAAACCCGTATCCTGAAGGCATCTAACTATACGGGGATGCAGTGGGTGGTCCCTAATGAACTCCCACATATCGTCTATACATCTGGGGCGGAATATCTGGGACACCATCCAACATGTGTGAAGACCTATGATTGCCCTGTAGCAACAGTAGCTCTCGAGATGCAGGTCCGGGATGCATATAATTAAATGAACTACCATTTTTTTCCAGATATTTTTGAGGTTAACAGATAATTAAATTATTGATTTCAGTAACTATAAAGATAAATTAGTAATTATTCAATAATTAATCATATAAAAAATATTACAAACTTAATAGTAAATACTATTGAATTTATTTCATTCGTAACGATTTGTTTGTTAACTTTCATATTTTGCTCAAATTTACCGGCAAATGATTATTTTATGATTTTTATCTAATATTTGATAATTATCTACTAATACATTAAATCCATAATTGAATACTTTATCCGAGTTTGTTAAGGAGAGCACCTAGTTTTTATTCTACATAACGAAATCTTAAAAGGCACTAAAATAACACTACTCTAAATGGCCATGAACAAAGTCAACTACCATAAGGTAAAATTTATTACCAGTTTTACTACACTAAAGGGCACTACATAATAATTAAGGGTACAATATAACATTAAAAGTCACTAAACAATAATAAAGTCACATATTAATATACGTACAACAATAAAATCACATATAACAATAATATTCATAAAATAACAATATATCTTTTGTACTAATTTCTTAGTACATAAATAATCTAATCCGGATAAAAAATAACAAATTAATTAAATCACAAAACGATAACAAAAAAATATAGCCCATAGTAAATAACAACTAATAAGCATTTTATATACATGAGTTTTACCAAAAAGTAAGTCGGAATACCTCGATTTAAAGTTTTTTGAAATATAAAAATTTGATGATTTAGGGGTCGAACCGAGCAATCGACGGGATCCACTATACGACAACGCCTTGGATCCAGTGTTAGCTTGCTACAATACGGAGAAGATATATTTTTTGTGGGACGGGTGGGCTCCAATGGAGTTCGCGTTCTGGTGTGGGAAGGAGATGGCACTTTTTTTATATAGGTATAGCGCATGTATAGGAGGAGCTATATTATAGCGCATCTTATACATGCGCTATACATCCCGCCCTTTTTGAGTTTAAATATAGCGCGATTATTCACTACACTATACCTTAACGGACAAACATGCCGTTAAGGTATAGCACGGTGAATAACCGCGCTATATATAAAATGATTGTCAGTTTTTTTTTATACCTATTTTTATCTTTTGAGTCCAAAAGAACCACACTTCGGTTCCGGACTCGAGCAACCAATACAAATTGCAACAAGAAATTGATTGCTGCCAGAATCAGTAATTTTGGTAGCGGAAAAGAAAGTACACGTGTCCATTGACCAATCAGATAGCCCCAAATATATACTAATACAATACTCATTAATCTCTATAACATCATCCCTATATAACTGTCATTCACTATAAAAGTCTAATTTTTCTCAGAATCAATTTTTTTATTATATTTTACCTCTCTATAACAACTTTCTACCTATAATAGCAACAACCATCTCTATGATAGTACGCTCTTTGTAAAATTACCCCTCTATAACAACCATGTAGATTTTCTAAGATTATTATTAATAATAATTCTAAATATTTTAATCAAATATTTTATAACTTTAATATAAAACTTATAATAGAAATATATATCTTAAAGATAACAGTACGTTCCATGTAAATATGCACATTATTATTACATTTTTTTGAAGATCTTCAAATGATATATTTTTCATTAGAAAAATGCCAAAAGATACTTAAAAGATTTATTTATACTTTTTGAAGATATGCATATCATTCTTTTTTATTTGAAGATCTACGCATGATATATTTTATATTGGACAAATGCCAATAATATGTAAACGTAATATATTCATATTTTTTTAAGATATGCACATCATAATTTTTTATTTACATGTGATACTCTTTTGCTGAAAGTTTGGATGCAAATCTTCGCCGATTCAAGCGTTATACCACTAGTAAGAGACTGGAATCTACGAAACAAGCTACAATTATGGAGTTCTTCCATCAATCTTGAAAGATTTAATTGTGTGCCTTAGAGTTTAAATGTTTATATGTTTAGTTATGAATTTTTTTAATAATGTATTAGATTTCTTTAACATTTAATTCGTGAAATATTCATATCTTTTGAGATTTTGAATTTAAATATTTTTTACCTTTATATGTACAATTAACCACCCAAGTGTTCGTCCCACATAAGTGTCATTTCTAAATACAATCAAACCTCTTTATAACAGACTTGTTTGTTCCGGATATTTTGGATGTTATAACGAATTGATATTATCGAAAACATATATTATAATAGAACAAGAAATTTGGTTCCGAAAAAACTTGACTTTTATAGTGAAGTGCTATTATATAAGGACGTCGTTATAGAGAGGTCTGACTGTAATAGTCATATAAATATACGAATTAGCAAAGAATAAATAACAATGTCACAAACTAATTTTGTCTAATTAGATCTTTAATATTACTGCTTTTCTGTAAGAAATGACTAGTAAGATTTTGAAAATTTAAATATATTGATGGCCCCTAAACCGTAGCATTATTTTTCGCCTGCATATCTTATCTTGCCATGGTTGGGCTCCTTTTCAAACTGGAGTTAGGAAAATAAGATTATGGAAAAAACATAACCGACAAATTTAACACATGAAATTAAGATCAACTCATGATCTTAAAAGGGAAAAAGAGAAAGGAATAAATTATGCAAATCACAAAAAGGAGAATATCTACATCAGAATCACATCACAAGAGGTTTTCAATATAATACAAAACAATTGTGGTTCAACCTAAATAGCAACAGAGCCCAAACGGATCAACATGAATAATTATCTTACATATTCTCAAGATAACATATATCTAATGTTACATAATTATAAAGCTGCAGCTAGAGTTCGCAGCAATTTACATGGAGGGGTCTTTTCCAAACCCCATTAGAGCATGAGTTAAAAGCATTGAAGCTCTGCGAGATGTCTCCAACATACGCCCAACGAGTGGTACCTTGACTGTGTCCTTATTCCGTAAAGGTTTCTTATCCCAACTGCAAACATTGTACGCGAATATTCAACAATAGGAAAAAATTATACTACAAGTAAACATTATATAGAATATGTTTGGCAAGACAAGTGAGGGTTGCTCAGTTGGTTAGACGCTCTAACTTTAATCATGTGGTCGAGGGTTCAAGTCACGTTGTAGCAATGGGGGAGCCACAACTTAGCAAGCCTCACTCGTTTTGGTAAAATTATGTCATATGACTAGCAAGCCGAGCTATAACTAAAAGAGAGATTAGCCAAGCCTGCATATCTAGTCCAACTAAAATGAATGCATGCAACTCTGTTGATCAAGTATGAGCAATGCATCTTATTTTAGGATTCAGTTTATCAAGCAAGTGGAATTGCAGGGAACTTGATCATGCTTAAAGATCACTTATTAATAAGTACAACATAGTTTTACAAATTGTCATTCACATCCGTAAATACTGACAAAATAATGTTACGCCCTCGCGGCAAGGAAACAAAAGAATATGTTCAACATCCTTATTGAACTGTAAATTCAGATAAGTCTAATGAAGTTCAAGTACAAGGGATGTGAAATATATACATACCAATCTTCATGACGAATAACCTTTCCTCCTTCGGTGTACAACTTGATCAGCGATATCATATGAATGTCTTTCCCCAAGAATTTGTAATATTGTTTTGTGTCAATTAAAATCTGAAGCCATTAACCATAATGTCAAGAGTCCTAAAGCAGAGGAATAAACAAAGACAAAAGGTGGACACAATAGGACACGAACCTCATGATTTCCTGGAGATATTTCTTTCTCTGTAATGCTGTATTCCACGATTCTTGATTCACTGAAGACCTGAAATGTACAAAAACGACAGTTCGAATTATTCATATACAAGAATTGCAAGCCCTTCATGAAGAATTCATAATACGATGATCAATTATTTTAATTCAAAAAAGAAAGGGTTCACTAAGAACTATTGACGGTAAATTATAGTAGTTACAGTCACTCAATGAATATGTTCGGCTTTGCTTGGATAGAAGATAGATGAGCAGGCTCAGGAACCGGAACTGATGAAATTCGGGGAAAACATGGAATTGACCAAAAAATGGAGGACAAGACAGTAGGTTATCGTAGGACGAATCCAACAAACTTAATTAGTAGTGCTGCAAGGTTTTCCACAAACATTTTTAGCACTTGACAGTAAACTTATCACTATGCTGTAGCAATGTGGATAATGCACATTAATGGAAACACAGACAGGAGTAAACAATTTTCATGTTTCTTGAATACCAGCTAGTAAGCACATGCGAGGAATCCTCAAAATAATTATAATGTATTTTTTTATATTTTTTGAGAAATGAGTTTCAAGAACAAAATTATGATTGCCATCTTTTAGAAGCAAAACTGATTGTTAAAACTGCATCGCGCAATTAATTTACTAAGATAGTTCTCGCCTAATTCTTATTCTTTTTCTTTCCACCAAGAAGTGTATCAATCTAGCATAAATAGGAGGTTAGTATGAAATAGGATAGAGAGAAAGTGAAATTAGTTAGACCTTGTTAAGCGAATAAAACGACGACTTTATCTGTTTTATCCTGCAATCAACAATAAAATTCATAATCAGACTTACGAAAAAAAGAGAGATTAAAAGTGACTTAGAGATGGAAATAAGGAACAAGCTAGTTACTAGATGCATGAAAGGCAGACAACAGAAAGCAAGCACTACTCTGAATTTTCACTTAGAATTAACCTCACTCCAACAACTGTTTATAACTGAAATTGTTTTTTTTTTATTCTCCTAATTTCAAATATAAGAGGAATGTGATGAAGACTAATTCAGGCTCCACTTCTTTAAGGCTACATATCATCATTAAGCATGAAAAAAGTGGGATATAAATCTTATTCAGGTACTAAATCCCACTTATTCAAAAGATAAATCTACTTAGATATTGATTTTCCTTGTAAACTTGTACATCTACATAAAAGGGCAGGACTCAAATTACTTCTGATTCTGAAAAACATAAATGCTTGACTTACAAATTTACCAATCACTAGGTGTGAATATTGAACTTTGACCAAGATTGCTTGTCAAGCTGCAACTTTGAGGAGAATACACAATCTCCCATTATTTCCTTTACCAAGTAAAATGATTATAAACAGAGAAATTCTGCTAATTTAACTACGTTGACAATGTTTAAATCTTGCTCTTATCCCCCATGAATTAAAGTCACAAGTCTAAATGGCTGTAGTTTGTACTAAACAAGGTTACTAAGATAGTCAAGTATACCCGTGTGCACGCATAAGGGGATCTTCAAACGTTGCATTTGGAGCATATATCTCAAAATCTTGCCTTGTGGCACGTGACGCATATCTGAAAAATAATTTGCAGAAAGTGAATATAGTGATTAAAATGATTCATTACCAAATGGAATGTTGATAAACTGACAATTGTAGAGGATAACAGAATCAATAATTCTATTCAAAGAAAGATGATATGCATGATATATTAACTGGTGTGCGAGACAAAACTGGTGCTCCTATAAGGAAAGCCAGGGGTGGATCTAGTGCAAAGGTTACAGGTTCACGTGAACCCAGTAACTTTTGCCTAGACCCTACCCTGTATTTGTACAAAACAATCATTAAATGTACAAGAATATTTAGCTTGGAACCCAATTCATTGGTCCAGTTATCATTGTAGAATCCATAAACTTAAAATTCCGGATCCGCCTTTGAGGAAAGGATCTAACAAGCATCTCTTATACTCCTATTTCTGACATGAGAAGTTCACTAAGAAAGGTATATCACAACAAAAGGAAACACAAATCTACCAAGAAAAATATCCCCTTATGAAGGCAGAAATAGATTTGGATTCAGAATTTGCAATTCTCAGTTCACAAATTAATGACATGTCATCACAAGTTGCTTATGAAGAAACCATCCAAAGTATGCATCCATTATATAAACAGAATTATGGAAGACATCAATATTGTGCATAATTAGTGGTAATATGGTGCCCAAAACCTGCTTAGATAAGGCTTTTCTGCACCTAAAACCTTACTATATTTCTGCCCATATGCTAAAAGTTATGCCTCAATTTTAACCATCAAACATTAACACACACACACACAACCCCCCACCCCACCCCACCCCACCCCACCCCAAAAAAAAAAACAGAAGTAAAATAAGTGAAAAAGGAAAAATTGAGCAGTTAATACTACGACAATATATGCTTCAATTCCAAACAAGTGAGGGTCCGCTATATGAATTCTTATTTATGTCAGTCTATTTAAGCCTGTCTCAGCCCAATATTCTAAAATTGTGGTTTTTCAATGCTACAAGTTGTTAACATTCTACTGATATATAAATCTTTGACAAGATCACTAAAAGTCTTCTACCAAACATCAATTGAACCTAAAGTAAACGTGCTAACATGATTAAAAGTTAATCCCAACATTTATGAAAATCCTATACAAGAAACACCAAATAGATTGGCTTTAGCTAGGTCCCAGAATATAAGAATAAAAACTGATGTGGAATGAGAACAAATTCATAGTATTGGTCTTACGACAAGACCATATGGCACAATAAATTCCCTACCACCTAAAAATATATCTCATTGATACCCAAAAAAAAAAAAAACAAATAGAATAGAACAAGTAAAAGGGAGAAATATAAAATAAAACTTACAAGTTGAGAAGATGGGGAAGTATATAATCAGAGTCACGCTTTGAGGAATTATAATCACCGGCCGCCGCTTCCTTGCAGTACCCTTCTGTCTGTTGATCTTTCATATCTAAGAAATTACCAAAATTATTCCCAACACAAAATGATAAACCCAAATGTTAATTAATAGCCATAACAAAAGAATTACTATACAACATACCTTTGGGAGTTGGAATATATTAATGTTGTTGTTGACAAAAGAAAAGTAATAGGTGTAAGGTGTAGCTCGAGAAAGAGAGTATTATGCAGAAGAATGGAGAAAAGCAAAAGAGAGAAGATAAATGTTGGGAGGGAGGGAATGGAACTTTGAAAGTCGTATTTGTTAGTGTTTTACGTGGAGCTACAACGTCCATTTGTGGAGTCGTCTCATGTGTTTGTGTTTGTGTTTGTATTTGTGTTTGACTGCTGTTAATTTCAGAGTTAAAGCCAATTTATTCAGTGCTCTCCTTTTCCCTCAACTACTTTAAAACCAAGACACTTTCCGATTTAGGTTCTTTAACTTATATCACAATTTGTTTGAATCTTTATGAAGTTGATTAATGTTCCATGTCAATTTAATAGTTAATAATTTAAAAACTATTTACAAAAAATATGGTGTAACACCTCATATTTAAATAAGGATAGTTATTGCGGGTACCATTTAAACTCTTTATTTTAGTTATGTGGACATATTTTTTAATAACGTCTTTTCTGAAATTTAAGCAATTTATATAGACTAGTGAAATAATCGGCGCTTCGCGCGACCTTAAAAGACATCTATAAAATTTCAAAAATAATGAAATATTCTTGATATTTGCAAAAAAACTAACCAAAAATAGATCTTTGCAAAAATTAAGTAATCTAAACGTACCAATTTTTTACTTCAAGCCGGAGGTATTTTTCAACAATAAAATTTTTAAAAAATAAAAACAATAAAACCAAATTAACAAAAAAAATAACATCACGTTAAACAAAAATGTAAGAATGAAAGTATAAAGCCACGACGGCCTAACAGCAAAAGGCCTAAAGCAAAATTCTGGAAACTATTCTTGTATATGAAAAGAAGTTTTCACTTGCTGGTAATGCATATGTTTTAGTTGCAATTTCCTCCATCTTCTTCATGTAACATCGACCAGTCTCTTACTAACTTGAATTACTCTTTTATTTGTCTTTTCACTTTGAATTAAAAATTTAATTTTTTTTTTAAAAAGACCATCAAAATCTAAAAAGTAATAGAAAAAAAGGTATAAGAAGTTATTTTGCTAGTTGAGCCAGATTATTTTCTCATATGTATTATTTTCTTAGAATTCAAATCCAGATGTAATAGCAACCTCAAAACCTTTAAAATTTCTCTATGCACAGACAAAAAGAGTTTCTCAAAATGCTTAAGGCTGATACATTTTCAATTTTCATAACTCGTAAAAATATGAAGAGTTCCAGAAAGTCAAAATCGATAAGTAAAGCACATTTCACATTCCACCGCCAAAAAAATTTGTTTTAGCCTCCACAGTCATTCCAAATCGCAATAAAACTTACCAAGCATGCTTTTGAAATAACAAAAGGTACTCACATCTCAAGATTGTCATACTAATATAGAAAAAAAGACTCATTACTTTTAGTGGTGGAAAAAATCAATATCAACTCATCGGAGATCGATCCAGTTCTTATAGTCTCAACCATATGCTAATATGAGTCAATGATTTTTCTGAAAAGCAAAGAATATGCTATTACTCAGAATATCCTCAACTACAATCCAAAAAGAATAAATTGACTAAAAAAATTATAATAAAGAAGGTAATGATAATAGAGTAAATCACAAAGAAGTTAGTGTTACGAAGCAAAACGTTAGAAGGGGTATCTCAAAGTATTCGTAACCCACTGATCTGTGGGATAAAAATGAGATCAAATTAAAATATACACAACCTATTCAAATAATAGCAAAGTATGAAGTGTCACAAATGATTAATTTTGTGAAAGAAAAGAAAAGAGAAAGAGTGTCACAAATGATTAATTTTATATACAAGGCTTTGGCTCAAAATTTAAAGGATGCCAACCATTGGTAAATAATTTGAAATAAAAAATAGGTTACAAAATTAAAAAGAAATTAAAAAGATACAATCCTTCTCTTTCGTAAAAATACAACAAAAAAGAGAGAGAGGGAGAAAGCACATAAAAGAAAAGATCAATTGTCGCATCTCTGCAGTTTTGCCTTTGCTGCCATCACCTTTGCCTCCTTTATGGCCGCACTGCCACTTTTTTCCTGTAAAAATTCTTATTTTGTCATGTTGAAACCTCTCCTCCTTTATATCCTTCCGATCTAAATGCACTCGTTAATTTTTTCAAATTAAGAGAATAAAATACAATTTCAAAAATATGAAATAAAAAACCTTTGTAACGTTATGAGAAATCTACATTTGGATGCATGCTAATTTAGTGTCACATGGCTTCTACAGTTCGGAGTTTTGGGATGCAGTGTTTATACGGGTAAAATCGAACTCGAGATTTTACCGAGCATTCAACACGATAGTCCGGGATCGAGAGATGGTGATAAAATCCCAGAGACTCGCTCCTTCCTTGCCGAATTAGCCATCGGGGCCACCATACTAGCCTTCGAGTTTACCGAGGTCATAACCGATTCCGGTTATAACGGTATCAAGGAAAATATTGTCATCTTATCCGACAAGGGTCCAAAATTCCCACAACTAACCGGACATTACGACATAAATCACAGAACATACCAAAACATGGGGACCAACAGTCAGCAAATCAATGACTTTTTACCTTTTATAGAACAATAGAATAATACCCTAAAAGTAGGACTCCTCTAATATATAAAGGGGGCCTAACAATTCATGAGATATATGGTAACATACATTCATAAGCAATACATTACCGTTATTCTTTTAAGTTCTTATTCTTTGGTGTCTTGGTGTCGATAAAAGTACATTCAGCCTGAGGGTGGCCAGCCTTCCTAGGCCGAAATTATCCAATTCGTGTGGTTTGCACTTAATTTATCATTATTTATTTCAATTGTAATATAATTTATCGTTCAAGTATTAAGTTAATCCGCATATCCTTTAAACCACTAACAAATTTAATTGTTATCCGATTTTGAGGGAAAACAGTTTGGCGCGCATCGTGCGGCTGAGGATAATAGCGACAATTTGATACAAATCACCATAATACACCCCATTTTACACTTGTTCTTTGAAGTATTTATGATTTCAGGTCAAGATCGAAATATCAAACCCAGAGTCTATCCCTCAAAACATGGACACAGAATCCAACCACCATGGCAGGAAAAACAATGCAACACTCGACAACGAGATACCTCGGGTCGATCCCGGCAGAATCGAAGTGGAAGTTCCCATCGATGCCTGTTCGCATGTGTCCATCGATATAAATCAGCCTACCGACCCCGAAAACAACGTGCGGAAGGAAGTTCGTTCGATCACCCAGAACACACACGACGGAAAAAATGATAGGATCAACCTACATTTGATCTTCGAAATGCTATAGTCCCAACATGTGACGATAGCTCAATTGCAAAACCAAGGTTGAGCACCGAGTAGAATTGAACCTGAGCTCCCCAAGGAAGTCTTCCGCAAGAATGATCCGATCACGGAGAGGACGAACGAAAATGAATCAGGATCTAACCCCCGAGATCATAAGAATACGCGAAGAACTGACGAAACAGATAGAATCTAGGGAAAAGAAAATCAAAGCCAACAATAAAAAGATGGAAACCTATAATTCTAGGGTCGTCCAAATCCCGGGAGCACCCCCAATACTGAAGAGTCTGGATTCTAAGAAATTTATTCAGAAACCTTTTCCCCCGAGCGCGACTCCAAAGTCGATCCCCAAGAAGTTTCACATGCCTGAGATTCCTAAGTACAATGGAACGACCGACCTAAATGAGCATGTGACCTCCTATACATGTGCCATCAAAGGAAACAACTTGGAGGATGATGAGATCGAGTCTGTCCTGTTGAAAAAATTCGAGGAGACCCTATCGAAAGGAGCTATGATATGGTATCACAACTTACTCCCTAATTTTATTGACTCGTTTGCTATGCTAGCATATTCCTTCGTAAAAGCACATGTAGGGGCTATAAAGGTCGAGATCAGGAAGTCAGACCTTTTCAAAGTAAAACAGAGGGATAACGAGATGCTCAGAGAATTCGTATTCCAGTTCCAAATGGAACGGATGGATTTGCCCCCGGTCGTGGATGATTGGGCCGTTCAGGCTTTCACCCAAGGACTCAGCGAGCTTCGTCAACGCTCGAAGCTCGCTAGCTTCACAACAGTTGAAACAAAACTTGGTAGAATATCCAGCAATCACTTGGACCGATGTACATAACCGGTACCAATCAAAAATTAAGATCGAAGATGACCAGCTTAGAACTCCTTTCGGAACCGTACACCCCGTCAGGATCATCGATCGAGTCAAGAGAGACACCGATCACGAACCTAGATCAAATCGGGATCGGTATAAACCGTACAATAGGGATCGTAGAAGCAGTGGGTCCGGGCGAAACCTTATGAGAAATGAAAGAAGAAATGACCGAGGATAGATCAACCGAGGACTCATGAGCAAAATTAGCTTTGACAGGCCCATCGGGCCTAAAGAAGCACCGAGGCTATCAAAGTACAATTTTAGCATCGATGTCTATGCTATTGTGTCCGCCATCGGACACATCGAAGATACCAAATGGCCTCGACCTTTGCAATCCAATCTAGCCCAAAGGGATCCTAACCCAATGTGCAAATATCATGGCACTCATGGTCACATAACGGAAGATTGTCGATAATTAAAGGAAGAGGTAGCCCGGTTGTTCAACAATGGACATCTCCAAGAGTTCCTCAGTGATCGGGCTAAGAGCCATTTTAGGAACAGGGATCCTAATAAATGAACTGAACCATAGGAACATCAGCATGTCATAAACATGATCATCGGTGGGTTCAACATCCCCCACGGACAAATGCTGAAGCGCACCAAACTATCCATCACGAAGTAAAAACGGACTCGAGATTACCTACCAGAAGGAACCTTTTTATCTGACGACAAAGACGCAGAAGGGATCGCACGACCCCACAATGATGCACTGGTAATAGCCGGGTACTCATAAATAAATATCGAGTTAAACATGTGTTGATTGATCTAGGTAACTCGGCCAACATCATCAGATCAAGGGTCATGGAACAACTCGACCTAAAGATCAGATCGTACCTGCAGTCCGAGTCCTAAACGGGTTCAATATGTCTTGTGAGACCACTAAAGGGGAAATAACATTACCGATGAACGAAACTGGAACCGTTCAGAAGGCCAATTTCTATGTAATCGAAGGGGATAAGAGATACAACACTTTTCTCGGAAGGTCGTGGATTCACAACATGAGAGCAACACCCTCAACATTACATCAGGTGATGAAAATCCCGACGTTCGAAGGAATCAAAATAGTTTACGGAGAACAACCGGACGCTAGGGAAATGTTCGTGGTCTATGAAGTGATCTCGGCATCCACACTCTCGATATCTAAGGGTTCGAATCCGGTGGTCGAAAATGGGGACAAATAGCAATCACCGATACGAGCCTCGACAGAATCGGAGGAGCGTGGGGTAGATGGGGGCAACCATTACGGAGTCCCCAAATCTTTCATAGCCCCCAACAATTCTAACGCTACAAAATCAACGGTCGTGGAACTGGAGCAAGTCATACTAAGTCAACACCTGCCCGATTGAACG